GAGGGCAGACACCAAGACCGGCGCAACCACAGCACAAGACAACAGGAGGGGGAACAGAGGGAAACCGAACGGAAGCCGGGGCACCACACAGGCGAAGGCAGAAGGAAGGAAGAGCCCGGAAAGAAGATAGCCGAGGAAAAAGGGGGGGGGGCAGGGGGGGGCGAGGCTACGCGCCCTTCGGGCCTCCGGGGGAGGATCTCGCACTGCCCCCCGGGGAACGGGGTTGGGGACCGGACGAAGGAGGCGGCGCCGAAGACGACGGCGAGTGGGGTGGCAACAGTAGGGGGGGCGCACCACCGCCCGCGGACGGCGGGAGCGGGTTCCAAGAGTGGTCGGCGTTCGACGAGTCCCCGCCACGCGCCGCGCCTCCGAGGCGGGCTCCGATGGGTGCGCCGGCGGGCGGCGGTAGGGGGCACCCGGCAGGCGGCGGGCCGGGCCCGAGGGGTGGCGGTCGGGGGCCCGGGCGGATGGGTCCCCCGCCGGGAGAGCACCCGGAGAGGGGCATGCCTCCGCACGGAGAGTACTACGACGGGGCCGAGAGGCCCTTGAGGATGCGCAGGCGTGAGGTTAGTCGTGGTGTTGTCGTTGTTGGAAATGCTTGTAGGGTACAATGTCGCGGGCGTTGCGTGAAATATGAGGTTTGTGCCAGCACGTGGGCTGAGCGTTGTTGTGTTGTCGACGGTGCTCGCCAAAGCTGCTTGCTTCCTCTTGGTTAATCTTGTTTACCCGCGACAGCTACATCGGTGTGGTCAGCCTTTGACCTTCCTTGTTGGGCGATGCCTTCCTGTTGCCTGTTGCAGGCAAGACCGCCGCCGCAGGATGACTACTACGACGACCAGTACGAAGACGCGGGCTACTACCCGCCGCGGGGCCCACGGCAGCCGGTATGACACGTTTCCTTGTCTTTGGAGAGCGAATTTGCAGCAGTCTTGCGGGTGGTGGGTGCGCGTTGCTGCTGTCATTCCGAAGGAAGGTTTCGCAAAAGTCTGGAGCATCTTTGACTCGGTCAAGGCAGGGTAGCAAGAGACGGGGGAGCGGGAGGGGGAGGGGCGGGCACGAATAGCCAGAGGAGAGAGGGTGAGACAGGGACGAGAACGCCTCAAATCGGGAGGGAAAACCACGACTCTGACACGGAGAAGCTACAACGAAGACATGAGCATACATCCAGTGGAGAACTTGGGGTTGTGCTTACTGGCGGGATGCGCTGGCATACCCCGTAAGACAAACCCTGGGCGAAATGACACGATGCCCCCCCCCCCCTCCTTTGCCCGTATTTTTTTGGCGGATTACTCTTCGCAGGAGGAGCTTATGCCGCAAGCCCGTCGTGCGAGCGACCCGTACTATGAACAGCGCTCCCCCCCTCGTCGGGGACCACCTCCTGGGCACCAGCAACAGCATCCGGTGGGCACGAAACCCACAAGTTTTTGGTAGCTGCACCCCGATAAATGGAAATAGCTGCTGCTTGTTACTGTTGTTGTTGTAGTTTTTGGGGTTGGAGGCTCTCGAGGGACGTCCCTTCTTCATGTTTATATCGTGCTGTCCTTATAAGTCGCACTTGAACTTTTCCCTGCTTCTCAGCCCTCCTCCGCATGGGTGTTTTGAGATGATTGTTGACCTTACCGCGCTCCCGGAACAACCGGGTCTTGTGTCGACTCAAGGCTCACTTCATTTTATTCGCCTACGGCATCGTGCAGGCCATCACTACAGCAGCGCAGCATCGTGTGTCCCCTGAGGGTGTACAACAGTGGAGCTTGGATGGGTTGGTTGGTTTTTGAGTGGGAACACTTGCACAACGCTACAGTACTTCTTTTTTCAGCTTCGGTCTGCCTAGGACCCTCACTCCTGCCCATGCCGCTATTTATCGCATGCTGTCTTTGCTCAGGAGAGAATGCCGGATAAGCGTCGGTACGAGGACACCTTCGAAGACGAGCCCATGCGGGGCCCCCCGCTACGGGTATGTATGTCATGCTTGACGGAATCTACATTTAATTATTCTCTGAACGTTCCGAGGAGAACCGCGAGAGTATCTCATGTCGCGCCCGGTCCCTGTGTCGGCGTTTTTGCTATAGAGGGAGGTAGGGGTTAGCGACCGGGCCGTGCCGCTGTTTCTCTCCTCGATAGCCTTTGAGAGCAGCCGGCCGTATTGTGCTGGTCGGTTGCTGTGTGTCCTCTTTGGTATTCAGTTCGAGCTCCCTTTTCACACTGTACCTATTCCTTTGCGGGTCTCGCCTGGAGCCTTTTTTTTGCGCAACTACTGTCGTCCGAATATGCGTGGGTGTTGCGTAAAACTCGATTTTTTTCTTTCCTCCATCGTTTTTTCTTTGTTTTCGCGTGTTGTCGTGTTTTTTTTTATACCGCAACGAATCCATTATTTTTTTTGTTCCTTTCGTACACGCCTGGTTGCGTGGCTATGGTCGCCTACGACCCCTTTGACAAAATCACCGCCTGCCATCCTTGTGCATCCTCAACTGGTATGTTGGGATGTTTCGTTTTGGCGATTGCAGAACCGACCCGACCCCCGAGAGTTTGCGGGACCCGGAGACGAACCTCGTCGCGGCGGCGGTTTCGACCCCCAACAGGTGCGTTTTTCGTTTCTTGTTTGTTTTGGCCTTGCGTTGCGGTTGCAGCTCTTGGGCGCGTCTCTCGTTTGCGCACTCTCGGTGTGTGTCCTATGCATACTTGTGGTACGTGGTGTTGTGTGTGCATTTTCTGTCCCATGTTTTGCGGTTGGAATACGAACGAGCGTTGACGTTTTTCGAAGAAGGTCGCTCGTTTCAAGGTATAGATGCTACATAGGAGGGGTGCTGCTTGAGTAGGCGTCATCGTTTCGAGCGGAGAGTTTAGTGAGCATATCAGTGCATGTTGTTCCAAGCGACAGAAAAATATAGGTGCTGTATGAAGAAAGTCAGGGCGCATGCAACTCCAACTACAGGATATAAAAGGCGCTACTCTTTATAATGAAGTACTTAGTATTTTATTTGTTGGTTTGATTGCAAGTACGGAGGACATACACAGGATCATGGGTTTCGGCCCTTTGATGCCACTGGCGTCCCTATTTCAATGTCCTCCTCGCCTTGTAGTTTCCCCCCAAGAAACGTGTACTCCTGTTGCGCCACCCGTTGGTCCCAAATCAGCACGACTTCTGTCAGGAGGATCGGTATGCTCAAGGCCCCCCTCGAGGCGGCGGTGGTCGCGGCCCCCCTCCGCCCAACAACGGCCAGGCTGATCACTACCCGGGCGGGCCTCCGCAGCGCCCACGGATGATGAGAGACGGCCGCCCACCCCAAGAGGGCGGACCACCCCACGGTGTCCGCCCGGGTGGCGGCGACTACCCACCGGTGCAGGATGGCCCCCCTCCTTCGCGAGGAGACCCCGGTTACTACGACGGCGGTGGGTCGTCGCGGGGCGGTGGCGGTGGCGGCCGCGGCGAGCTCCACCTCGGGGTTCCCCCCGGCGACCTCAGGCGTGATCCTGACTTGAGGCGTCCGGCCGCCGGAAGGGGGCCGATGCCCGGACCTGGCGGCC